CTACAAGTACATCTAAAACACAAATGCTGGGGAATGATTGTAACACACCACATTGTGTATTTCTGCCGAAGAGACAACCTGAACGTTACAGATGATGTGATTTTTAGTTTTAAATGACAGCAAAATGGGAATACCTCTCCTAAATATGTTCTTTGAAACCAGGAGGAGATCATGGTTTTCGCTTAAATATGCATATAATTTAATAATCCACAAGAGGAAAATGCATTTGAGGTGGCCCAAGCTCAGCCACACATTCCTGCTTTTTGACAGTGTCTCGGGTGGCAGTTCGCAGAGGTCCTGCCGGCAGCTTGCTTGTTGCATCGAGTGTGTCTTTGGACGCGGCCGGCTGCCCTCTGGCTTGAGAAGGCTTGGAGAGTAGGGTCATCTTGAGTCCTCTTTGCATCCCCAGCATAGGGAAACCTCAAAGACACTCAGTCACCATCTGCTGCTCTGCAAGACCCTCAGGAGGCAGCAAAATGGGGTGATGGTGCTGACTCCTGGGGATTTCTTTGAGCATCTTCCGGCTGTCTCTAATAGTCTCGCACACACTGAACTTTGTTACTTGGCAATAACTGGAACACATAATGGGAACATAGACAATACTAGTAAAGTTATAAATGCAGAGTAGCTCCTATTCTGTCTGAGTGACAAAAGCATGCCAGCAGCTGATGATGCCACTGGGTGGATTGGTACCCAGGTGCTGGGCAGTGTCACGCAGCCACGCTGGACCATGGATCTCTGTCAGATGCTCACTGGGGGCCACTCCTCACACAGGAACAGACCTATCCCATGTTTCATGCACTCCACAGACCCACAAGGGTTGCAGAGGCCACAGTTGCACATTGGTCCCGAAGGTTAGTGGTCCAGCACACACTTTGTGCTCAATATACACTGGCCATTTTCATCATTTTATTATTTATGTGTTAAATTAGTTTTAAAGCCCTCCCCCAGGATATGTTTATTGATTTTAGAGAGAGAGGAGTGGGGGAGAGAGAGAGAGAAACATCAATCAATTGCTTCCTGTAGGCACCCTGACCGGGGATCAAACCCTCAACCTAAGTATGTACCCTGCCCAGGCCTGAAACCTGCAACCTTTCTGGTGTAATGGGACGATGCTCCAACCAACTGAGCCACATGGCCAGGGTTCATCCTCCTTTTTAAATGCACGGAACTATGCAGAATTCTGGCACAGCGGGCAACAGCATGGGTTTTAGAGTCAGACAGCATGGGCTGCATCTGGCTCTGATGCTCAGTAGCTGTGGGACAATTTCCCATCTCTAAAAAAGAGAGAGCTGTACCTGCCTCAGCCCGCAGTGATGGCAGCGCCCAGCCCAGGTCCTTCACGCTGACCATGCACCGAAGACTTAGAAGGAGAGTATACCTGCTTACACAAATGGGCCACTCCGGCTGTCTAGCAATACCGGTCGCTTCTCAGAGAGCTCTCTCTGCTCACAAAGTCAGCGTTACTGCCCAGCTGACCTCTGCCTCTCTCTTGAATTTCTTTCCTGTGCCCACATTCCAGGCTGTTCTAGGCTCTCTATTCCCAGAATGCTTTGGAATGTCCTGAGACACATAGTTAGACACAGGGGTGACCATAGGATCTAGAAGGTGCTTTTGCTCCATGGCTGGCCTGCGGGCCTTCAGGATGGACCCCTCCCCTCCGACGGCACGTTGCTGTCTGGGCAAGGACCCTCATCGGCTTCACTGAGCCTGGCAGTGAGGGGGCTTCATTCCAGCTGCTCCCATCCTCCACGCTTTGGGGACCTGCTGGTATTCAGGAGAGAAGGGGACTGTCTGAACCAAAGGATGCAAATCATCAAGCTCTGCACTGACCCTAAAAGACACCCCTAGAGGCTGCGATCAACAATGGTGAATTTCGGCATGAGCCTATTTTCTATCAGGTGTTCACTGGTCTCTAAAATCAGAAGGTAACATTTCAACCCTGGCAGCAAAAGGATCTTGCTTTTTTTTTTAAATCTTCACCTGAGTACCTGCTTATTGATTTCAGAGAGAAGGGAAAGGAGGGAGAAAGAGAGGAAGAGACACATCAACAAGAGAGAAACATCAATCGGTTGCCTCTTATACGCACCCTGACCAGGAACCGAACCCACAACCTAGCCATGTGCCTTGACCAGGAATCAAACCGGCAACATTTCAGTTTATAGGACAATGCCCCAACCAAGTGAGCCACACTGACTAGGGCTGATCTTGCATTTTGCTATAAGTAATACGCCTCTTTGAGTCACAGATGACATCCTTGTATTTCATAGATTTAGAGCGGGGGGGGGGGGGCCCACCACCCTAAAGGACCCAGTGCTTCCCTAAACATGCCACACTCAGCTTCCTCTGGCCTTCCTTTCCCCTGAAATGCCCTGGCACCTTCCTTCCCCAAGCGAACACACCCTGCAGGTCACAGCCATGCACGGTCTCCTTAGGAAAGCCTCATCTGGTCCCTAAGACCGGACCATGGGGTCCTCTGAGTAGCCAATGCTGAACGACACTGATGGAGTGTCACTACCTGGTGTATATTATGGTATGCACCATTACCTGATATATAATAGCATATTACAGGTTTTGATTATCTTCAGCTAGAAAGAAGAGAAATCCAAAGCAGTAGTTGCTTAAGAATGCATTTTTTTCCCAGCCAGGGTACATTCCTGGGTTGCGGGCCGTAACCCCCAGCAACCGCACATTGATGTTTCTCTCTCTCTCTCTCCCTCTCAAGCCCCCCCTCCCTTCCCTCTCTAAAAATAAATAAATAAAATCTTAAAAAAAAAAGAACGCATTTTTTCCCCTTTCACACCTAAGTCTAGAGGAATGCAGGTCAGAGGTGCTGGTGCAGCACCTCTCCTTGATACCATCCTCAGGTACATGACATCATCTGTCTTATTAATTTACCAATGGAACCTCTTTGCCCAAAGGCACTTTGCTCAAAATGGCCACTACAGCTCCAGCCATCACATCTGTATTCCAGCAGCTCTGAGAAGAAAAGGGCCAGGGGCTTAGGTTAGTTGTGTTGCTGTTTAAAGGAAGGGTCTGCCATTCTTTGCTTAATCTGATTGGCCAGAATGTAATCACATGGCCACAGCTAGCTGCAAGAGAAGCTAGGAAATGTAAATTTTAAATCTGGTTAAGCCCTCAACTAAACCTAGGATTCTATCACCATGGAGGAGCATGACGAACATGGGAGGAGAGCTGTGGACTTGTCCATATCATCTGTTTATTCATACTGCTCATCTTAGAGCCCGAAGGTCAGAGATTCCCAGTACTTAAGTGATGATCAAATGAGGAAATAAATGAACGGATAGCCAGCAGTGGGGTGCAGACATGGGTTTCAACTCTGGGGGGGCCTCATTGACTCAGCTGAGGAGAGGTCCCGGGGAGCAGTGTTCTGACTGGAGGGAGGAAAGAGGCTCTGGCAGCTCTGACGTCATAGATTCCCCAGAGTTGGAGGGTATGAGGAGGTCTGCAGGGGAGGAGTGGTCTCAGCAGCTGACGGTGGGGGGGAGGGGCTCCAGGTGAGGTCCCTTATTGCTTCCCCCCTGCTCTTCTCCAACTTCGCAGAGTTTCAGCAGGTAACCCCACCCCAGTGTCTGCATTGCATTTATCTCGTGTCACTGGGGCCCAGCTTGGCAGACAGCTGTGCGGCAGGATCATCTTTTACAATCCAATTAGCAGCAGACCCCCCAGACGTCAGGGAGACTTGAGTGGTTCGCTTCCCACAGCGAGGCTTGCTGCAGCGGAGGTTAGTCTGCTCGGGGGCTGGAAAGAAGGGGAGAAGGGGCTGGGGGAGAAAGGAGGGAGGTGACTCGATACTCTGGCAGGGGGAGAGGGAGGATGCTCCTGAACTTGGCCCGACCAAAAATGAAAGAAGCAGGAAAGGCCAGAACCACCCACACACTTCCCCCATATGGCATCGCAGCTGCGACTCCTTAAGCTCTACTTGGGGCCAAACACGCAAAGGACTCACGTTCCTTTCTCTCCTGGTTACTTTCTCTCCAGGAGAGAAAATGATGAGGGGCCTTTGTTTGCTTTCTCCATCCTCATCCGGGGTGGGTGAGAGAGAAATCTCCTTCCAAGAAGGGACTTCTCAGCCACAGCATCCAACTTCCTCGTTGCGCAGAAGGGGAAACCGAGGCTCAGAGAGGGGCAGGGCTTGCCCAAGTTCCCAGAAGAGCTAGGACTAGCCCAGGACCTCCTGCCTTCCAGGTGTCCCTGTGAGGTCCCTCAGGAAGGCCTGCTCCGCATCACTTGTCATCTCACTTCAGTCGTGCCTGGGCCCAGAGCAGCGCGCAGTGCCGATGTCAGGAATTAACCCTGGATTCCTTTGGAGTGCCTTAACTCACCATTCCCTCCGCCCTGTCTGTGTCCTGAGAGGGGCTCCTCCCTGTGTCACGCGCTCCTTCTGTGCATGGGGAGACCGAGACACGGATGAGTTGATGAGTGACATCCCTGGAAAGATGTCCTCCAACCCGGAGATATCCCTCTCTTGGCCATGCCACCAAGGCTGTGCCCGGCACTGTTTCCATGCACAGCTTCTGCACACCGGGGGGTCCTTCTGAGCTGACTGCCCACACCCAATTCACTGAGCAGGTGTTGCCAAGGACAGAAACTCCTCTGAGTGTCACAGAACCACATGGTCCCCCAAATTAAGAGGGATATGGACGAGGGAGTCCTTGAGCCTGGATTTCAACCAGAGTGAGTGACTGGATAAGCCGAGACACTCTCTGCGCTTCAAAGGACTCATGCTGAAAATGCGGGGTGGGATTGTGTGCTGTCTACCTTCTTGCCGAGGCATCACTGATTATTTTTAAAATTCAAAGTCAAGTGCAAAACCTGCCCCAGGCCCTCATATCCAGTCTAGCATCCTCCGTCAGTAGCTGATACGAGGCACCGAGCCCACCGCCCGCCCTCGTGTGTCTTCCTGCCAGGACAGGGGACGTCGCCCAGCAAGTCTCCTGTTTTAGGGGGCCTGGCTCGTGAACTTGGCCCCTTGCTAACTATGCCTCCTGGTTGCTTGGCTTGATAACTGTTGCATTTGGAAATAAATGACACACTTTCCCTACATCTGCTCCAAATTTGCATTTCAGAAATTAGAGAACTTAGTTATGCGGTATTACATGGCCATCCGGGCAGGGTCTCGGAGTATGAAACTGATTGGACATTCCGCCCCAAATAAGAGGAGTTTCGAGCTCTTTCCAGGAAATTGAGTGGAACACCCAAACTGACATCCAATATTAAATATCGTGTTTGTATAGTTGCTCTGTAGACTTCCCTGGCATCCAACATCTGGGAGCGAAATTTATAAATGGGGAAACTGAATACCTGGTTAGAACGATGCTCATCAGAGCTAAGAAATTAAAATATTACTGTATACACTCCAAGTCAGGCCATTTATAAAGGTAGAGCTATTAAAATATGATTAGCCGAACCATATTTTGTCTCAAAAATGTCATACACCATTAAAGTTGAAAAGACTTTGATGCGAATACCCCTGGCAAAGGCTCTGCCCCATCAGCAGCAATGTGCTCGGGAATGTTCACTGCAAATACGCAGGCTCCCGAGTGAGGGGAGGAAGGGAAGCTGCCCGGGGCGGCAGGACTCCTGGGCGCTGCTGGGACGCCCAGCACCTCGGGACTTGGGCAGGTGGGGCGGCGGCAGGACTGGGTGCAGATTTTAAGAGAGCTCCAAAACTCTTGGTAATCAAGATAAGTTAATATTTTAGTATAATATTAAAAAAACCCCTGGAAAACCACTACCTGCTGTGAGTCTGTTATTGTGAATAAAGTTTTATCAGAACAAGCACCAAGATTAGGGTGTGGCAAGTGAGGCTGTATTGTGCAAGTTCAGTATTAGCTTCTGTCTTGAGATTTGATATTTTGTTCATCTTGGATTAGTTTGGTATTCATTTCAAGGTTTCAACATCCAGTTAAATTTTGTGACTCTTCGCCAGTGTCCCCACAGGGGAACGTGAAGCCTGTGTTGTTAACCAAAGGTCACTGTGCTCTCTAGAAGCAGTGCCCGAGGCCCCATCCCACGGGTCACCCCCCCCAAGGCCCCCACCCACGTTTGGTCCATTGCTGTCATTTGATGGTGAAAACCATGGACGGCGATACCTGCCCTGTCCCGCCACACCCCAGGTGCAATTCAGGGGCTCCAAGTGACGTTGCCTTTAGCCGCTGGCTTTGGAGGGTCTCCCCCACCTGTCCTCACAGCCTTGGGAGTGGCGAGGTGTAGCTGGGGTGGAGGGGGGCCTGCAAAGCTGGCGATGGACTTCAGAATGACCCAGGTTGACCCCACAAGGTGGGAGAGAGTGTCCCAGACCTGGTGGGCCAAGACCACCCATCATCAGCTCTGTAGACCTGAACAGGCCCCCTAACTGCTTCTTGAGTCTCAGTTTTCTCATCTGAACTCAGGGAGTGATGACAAAACTTGCTCTAAGTCCCTGGATTTGAGCTTCTTAAACCTGAAGTCTAATTGGCAAAGGAGGTGCCCCAGTTCCCAAGGGCTACACACAGATCAAGAATCAGTGTCCTTTTACAGAAATGGGGTCAGAGGCGGGAAGCATCTTGTTCAAGATCTTACAGCTAGGAGTGGGCGATGGATCTTCCGAAAATCCCAGGTCTTGGTCTTCATCTCCTTCTTCTCGGTGAGGCGTGCTCCCGTTGGAGCCGGCTCAGGACATGCCACAGGGCTTGTTGAACCAGGTCGCTGCCTCCCATCCCCGGTTTCCGACCTGGTGGGTCTGGGGTGAGGCCCAAGAACTGGCTTTTCTAATGAGTTCCCAGGTGCTGCTGGTGCCGCTGTCGGGGACCTCACTTGGAAACACTCTTCCTCCTCAGGCTTGTGGCTGAGGGTAAGTGGGGAGGGGCAGGTGGGGAAGAGAAGGCTAGGGTGAGAGCAAGGAAGGTGGTATCAGACTGCGTCCCCCTCCCCAGGCTGGGGGGAGGCACCCCGGTCCAGCGGTGTTTCCTGAGCGCCGCTCCCTGCCACCCGCACAGGAAGCTGCTTCGGAAAGACATGGATTTCCGGGTCCCACCCAGACCTCCTGAGTCAGCGGCTGGCCGGGGGGTGGGGATGCTCATCTCTACCCACCCCCCCACAGGTGACTCTGAGGCCCGAGTTAGAACAGCCGAGTTCTCCCCATTGCCAGCCCCCTTTCAATACTTGCAGGGGGTTAGTTTTCAAATACTGCTTCCTATGCCCAATCTTGGACCCTTTGAATCCGAATTTGGGAGGTAACCTTAGGCAGCTCTGGCTTGTAGAACGCTCTGGATGATTCTAACATTCAGCCAGGGTTGAGAAAGTTTGAGCTGGAGGCTTTTCCACAAGCAGAGACGCCTGCACCCACCACCCCACCATCACCTTTAAGAGAAATGAACGGCCACACGGACCGAGTGCAGGACTGGCTGAGGGAAGCACGGCTGGGCCACAGCCGAAGAATAGCATGTGGGCCCACAGCCATCTATAAAGTGGGTGGATTTACAGAGTCATCGAAGAAAATTGTATCTGGGGACGTCGGGCATGGCGCTGTTATTCTGTACAGTCAGTTTTTCTTTCAAACCACCAAGGCCTGGAATGGTCCCAGATGTAATAGAATTGACCATACTGCCCACTTAGGACACGGACCACCAGCCTCATACACGTCCTGAGAGATCTGTGAACTGTAATAATAGCCCTGCCCCACCCTGCTGTATGTTTGGCTTGGCACAGACATGGGTCCATGCCTGGCATTATTATTATTATGGGTTTTTATGGTGACTCGCCTCCCACATTTGAGCCTTCCCCTCACCACCTGAGAAGGGGACCTCTCGGACATCTGTGTTGCCTCTACCATTCATCAAGGTGGTTGGAGTCCTCAGGCCTGACTGGGGCCACAGTCCCTGAGACCGGGCCACTTGGAGCACTGAGCTGTCATCATCCCCTGGGGTCTTGAACTTCGGTGTAGGGCACTTGGTGTTGGCTGCACTGCTGAGTTTTGTTCAGCGTGGGCTGGGAGGGTGGAGTACGTGAGCTCTAGAGGAGACTGAAGTCACGGGGCCACGGCTTCTGGTTGGACCCAGACAGGAGGTTCGTCCAGACGGTGCACTTGGCTCGGCCACAAGCCTGAGGAGGAAGAGAAGTGGAGTTAACCTCAAATATGGGGCCAACCAGGCACATCAAGTGTGTGGCAAGCCTGCCTAGCTTCAAGTTCTGACTCAGGCCTGCTGGGAGTCTTTGGACACTACTTAAAAAAACACTCTCAACGTGCCTCAGTTTCCCCATCTGTTCAATAGGAATCATAATCCTAATGCCACATAGGTTTGTTTTAAACAAAATACATTCAGCCACATACAGCCATCCCACAAAAGTGCCTGAGAAGTTAATTTATCAGGTACCTGTCCATCTATCCAGCCCTCTGTGCATTTTTTTATCAAAGAAATTTTTTACACACATCAGACTTGACTCTAGGGTCTAATTATTTAACCCAAATGCCTGTCTTTAAGGTTTTAATGATGCATGTTTGCAGCCCCTACAGAAATGCAACTGGCCATTGGTAGCCTGATCGGCAGAACCAGAATCTGGAAATTTCTAGGTAGATAAAAAAGAAGAGAGCGCTGATGTGTGGTTCAGTTGGTTGAGCATCATCCTGTAAAATGAAAGGTCACGGGTTCGATTCCTGGTCAGGGCACGTGCCTACGTTGTGGGTTCGGCCCCCAGTTGGGGTGCATACAAAAGGTGACTGGTCGATGTTTCTCTTTGACCTCAATATTTTTCTCCCTCTCTCTCTCCTAAATCAATAAGCATGCCCTCAGGGAGAGAAAAGAGAAAGGAGAAGGAGGGAGCTGTGGCAGAGTTACCCTTGTGAAGGACCGGACTTGTTGAGGGCAGAGGCAGAATGCCACTCACCTGCCGTCGCCTCTGCAGGGTTTGGCAAAAAGCTGGTTCTTGGAGCCCTGCAGCTGGGAGGGTACAAGGCTGTCCCCCAGGTGCCACTGTTGGTGTCTTCCGGGGCGCTGCTATGGAGGGCCAAGCAGTGGCTCCACTCACCCAGGCCCAAAGCGCCTGCAGGAAAATCAGCTTTTGTTCCTTGGGAAAGAACCCCCCTGGGGTTGGGGGGTATTGTGTTCCCCAACTTCCATATGGAAATGTTCAGACACAGAGAAAAGTTGAAAGACATGTACAGCAACCACTCACATGCCCATCCCGCCTGATTCTCCAGCTCACACCTCACTCGTTGTGCTTGATCTGGTACCTGACCCTCTGTCCATCCCACTGTCTACCACTCACACATCAGTTTTTGTTTTATTTCATGCTTTTGTTGGTATCGGATTGCTTCGACTCTGCGGCTGACAGGTTATCCAAAGGTTAAGGTTTTAACGAGGTGGGGCCACTACAGAAATGCAACCGGCCATCCTTCATTTAACTCTCTCAACACGTGTGCACGTGGGCGGTGGCACAGTTCCTCCCGACAGCGGCTCTGCCAGGTCCTGCCAGTGCCTCCAGCCACCTCTACCTCCTCTCGCCCGAGAATTAAAACTTCGTTTCCTCAAGCACAAAAACAACAAAATTAAAAGGTTCTGAGCAAGTTTCTTCTTCTCCATAATATTAATCCATCCAACTACCCACCCATTCACTCGTATATCTACCCATCCACCCATCATCCACCATCTATCCACCATCCACCCTCCCACTCATCTATCCATCCAGCCATCCATCTGTGCAAAAAGCATTCACCCAGAGCATGATCACTAGTCAGAATACATCACTTCATGTAAGAGTAACCTTAGAGTGTGACATCATTGCCCCCCACACTTTTAGAGAACCCCACAAGGCCGAGAGTTTCCCTCCTGGTGAGCCAGAGTTGGACCTGACCACGTGTGGAATCCAGGGAGGGTCAGTTCTGAGACTGGACTCAGGGCCTTTCCCTGGAAGGAGCATGTCCTATGTAGCAGAGTCTCATGCTATCGTGCCGGGGGAATAAAACCGCATTTCCTGTGTTTATGGAAGCCGTATGTAGGATGAGCAAATACTCAGGTGACCCCGGCCCAGGCACATTCCAAGGGGACCAGCCACCCCAGGAAGTGAGTCGGGTTGGGGGTGGAGGGGCCTGGGGTGGGGTGGGGTGGGGGCTGTGCGGCGCTGAGATGACAGGAGACGGGGACAGCACTGCCACCCTCCACTGCTGTAGGGAGGAGAGGAGTGAGCACGTCCTGTCAGGAGCTTGAGTCTGCCTGGAGTCCGGACCCCAGGACCTGGGCACCGTGTAAGGAGAGTGAGGCCAGGCCTCCACCCTCCTCATCGCCATGGAAACAACAGCAGCTGTTACTCTCTCTCATTTGAGTATTTTCTAAGACCCAGAGCTTAGAAAATATTCAAACACTTAAAACCACTCTCAATGTGCCTGATGCAGGGGTCCACATCATCCCCACTGCACAGACAGGGAAACTGAGGCTTTTAGAGTTGACTTTTCCAAGTCATAGGCAGTGGCAGGGTGAGGGGTGCTGCCCAGACCCAAACCAGGGACTGTCTCAATCCAGGTGAAGGGTCATGAATCCCATTAACAGATGGGGAAACCGAGGCTGGGGAGAGTGAGCAGCCTGCCCAGCTTCCATCTGAGAAGCGGCAAAGGGTAAGGCTTGGCCATTCATGTGCACAGGTTCACGCTTTCCATCTTCTTCCCAAAAGAACAAATGAAACAAAGCAGGGTATCAGACGATCTCCCTGCATGCTCTTCAGCAGAGTCTGTCGACAGCACCCCTCTTTCCATCCTCCTCCTGTGAGATGGGCCCACTCAGCCTGGTGGGTGCCAGTGATCTCCAGGGCCCCAGAGGAGTGTTCCCGGCAGGGTGCTGATTGGAGACTAGCCTCACCTGGGGCAGTGCAAGGCGTGGCTGCTTGGTCCGGCGTGATGATGATGATGTGGATTAGATGGGAGAGTAAAGTGCCCGGGAACCAGCTGCCTCCTGCCTCCTGCCTTCACCTCACCCTTCCTTACACGGAACTTCCCCAGGCCCTGGCTCAGCCCTTTCATAGGTGGGGGCACTCTGGCCTGGGGACAGCAGTTAACTTGCCCAAAGCCACCAGAGGTGAGGAGAGAGCTTGCAGCCCTCCTGAGATTCTGCCTCTGCCCTCTCTTGTGCCTGCTAAGCCATCCTCGTGGCCCAGACTTCATGCCACCCACGAGCTGTCTGGACCCTCCTACCTATGAGGGCCAGCTCCCCGCAGGGCCAGTGTCCAAGCATTAGCCCCGGGTACACACGTAGGGGTCCTGAGCCCCACTGACTGTTCCTCTAGATTAGCCTGAGAGCATGGCCTGAGCAATCTGTGTGTCTGGGTAGCATGAACACTAAATTCTGAAGACTCACAGGACAAGGATGGAGTTGGGGGGGCTGAGCTCATCCATGCGGCCCCTCCCTCCAGATGAATTAGGAACTGCTCGATGGCCATCTAGGAAGTGGGTCCCCCAGGCGCCCCAGCCCAGTGGAGCTCAGACTAGTTAGCCATCCTTGCTGAGCCCTACCCTCAGCGTCCCCTCTGTGAAATGGGCCAGAAACGCTCTCTCTGAGGAGGTCCCGTATAAAGTGCCCCGAGTACAATGCGCATGGTTGAGTTAGAGTGGGGATGTTACTGGCATCACAGTGGCCTGTTGAGCAAAAGGCCCTTGTCTCCCTGCATGAAACATGTTGGCCCCTCACCATGAGTCCCTGGCTCAGTTTCTGTCATCATAAAAGATTGTCTTTCCATGAGCAAGCCTCTACTCATGGCGGCTTGTCAAGAAATTCCCCCGCTCCCCACCCTCGCTCCCTCTCTCCTCTTCTTTGAGGCCCAATGGAAATGGCTCCCCAAACAGGGCCCGTAAACTCATCAGGGCTGCCAAACTGGCCCTGGCTCCCATTACTGGGTTCTGTGTACCGGATGGACTGGCGGAGAGGTTGGGCACAGACTCTGACCGCTGCCCAGATGTCAGGGTGAGGGGGAGATGTGTCTGCAGTTGGTGGGGGGTGGAGAGAGGCAGGCAGGGGGAGAGAGGCACATGAATAATCTGACCTTTCCTCTTTGTGTTTGGGCAAACGTAAGCCTGTTTACAATAAACCCCAGGGAGATTTTTCATCCTTCCAAATGGAACAAGGGTTATGTAAGCAGAGAGACCTTGAGCTCGGCAAACACCTGCTCCAGGGGGCCAAATGGAGGGAGATCAGGAGAAATGGAGCCCTAGGTTGACTCATGACCAAGTTCAAGATGACAAGGGCTTCATTAAGCTGGGAGGCTGCTGGGAAGAGCAGAGGGTGCTTCCTGGGGTTTAGCAGACCAGGCCATATTCAAGGGGCACCCCTTTCTCTGCACCCCGCAGAGAACGCAGGTGGCTTTGAACCCCTAGATGGCTACCCATCTCTAGCTTTTATTTCAAAATCACCCTGGGTGTTGTTTCTTTCTTTAAAAACGGGCCTGCATATATTCTGATTATAGTGAATAGGAAAGCAGGAAACTCCTGCTTTATCGCATCCCTGGCGACTTTTAATGGACAAGTCAACCCGGGAATGTTTCTTTACAGAGGCTGGGCTTCCATGTCTGGATTTGGTGTGTTGCGTTGAATAAGATAAGCCATCCTGAGAACAGAAAGGCAGCAACCCTTGTCTCTAAACGATCTTGGGATTATTTGCAGAAGTTCTAGGTCATGCTCATTAATTTGTGTAAGTCTGGCTTAACCCACCTGGGATGATTCTGTCCTCTATTTCCCGAGTCAGGGCACAGACTTGGAAGCTGAGAGTGGTCTGCACCTCCAGCTTTGACCACACCAGGCCAGAAAAAAGGGAGGATGGCATCTTACGGTGTGTGCGAACATCCCCCTCTTGTTTTCAGATTCTCTATTAGGCAGTTGGTAGACTGTACTTCCCCAAATGGCTACAACAAAGTCTCCCCTTCCACATGAGCTTCTTCTAGTGTTCTACCCCATCAGCGAGGACCTTTCCTCTGATCCGGGATCGCAGTGGGCCTGTGACTGCAGCGGAGGTGAAGCTACATGCCTTTCTAGACTCAGCCATAAGAGGAGATATAGCTTCTATGGGTCCTGTTGGCCCTCCATTCTTGGAACTTGGACACCATCATGTGCAGAAGGCCAAGAGGCCCATATTAGGAGATCCATGTGGGAGGAACCAAGGCTGGCAGCCTCCAGCTGGGCTGAACTCCCAGTTGACAGCCAGCACCACTGCAGCCAGACCTGCACTGCGCCATTTTGTACAGGAACCCTTTGGCATCCAATCCAGCTGCCCCGATGATGCCCGGTAGAGCAGAGATAAGCCTTCTTGGGAGCCCTGCCCGAAAGACAGACTTGTGAGCTAAACACGTGCTTGTTGTTTTAAGCCACTAAGTTTTGGGGTGGTTTGTTACCCACAATTCAGGTGTTTCCAAGGAAGGTGCTACAATAACACTAGCCACCACTCAGGGCGCGCTTCCTCCCCTGCCTGCCCATCGCGGTGGTGCAAGTTGGGCACCCACGACCTCCTTTAAGTCAGGGCTGGCCGCCCAGCTCAGGTTGCTGCGTGGGAGAGAAACTGCTACACTGTCATTTGGGTTTTTCTATCACACAGAGTACTCCCAGCTAACAGAGAGCCTTGCTGGGTTTTCACAATCACCATGGCACCTAATCTTATCTTCATTTTAAAGAGATGGAATCTGAAGCTCAAAGAAATTAAGTAATTTGCCAGGAAGTAAGACCTAAAGCCAGCCTGTCTTCTGACCTGATCTCTCCCTGTCCACTTAGGCCACTGTGTCACCTTCCCTCCCCACTCCACCCCTACTCCTGCACTTTGCTAGTCTGGCTTGTGATACCACTAACTTTTTGCCAGTTGGGCAATTCCCTTCATGCTGCCTCTCAGGAGCTGTTATTGAGGGCGATCAATCATTGTCCAGAGCCAGCTCTGGGCAGCCTCAACTCACTGGGTGCAAGAGGAGGTCCTCGGGTTGGAATGGTCTCCCCACACAGGAGGGTACTTCAACAGGATGGGGAAAATGTCTCAAAGTGTCCTGGGGTTACTCTTCATTCTCCTGGCTTCATGAGGCTCCATGCTCCTACTGTGACTTAAGAGTCTCTCAGGTACCTTAAGAGATTCAACTCAGATGTCTCTTCTTCCAGGAAGCCCTCCTGACTTATATCACTCTACTTTGGCATACCCTCAGCATAGCCTCACCCCAGCATCCTTACTGCCAGACAGCAAACCCATTGAGGCCTCAGGCTGCGCTGTGTTTCTTCCTCATGTGCACAGCCTCCTGCATGGTGCACAGGACACAGGGGATGTGTGTCCTAAATGCTTATGAAGGAAGGGTGAGCCCAGGGATGTTGGCCCACCACTATCCTCAGCCGCAGGAAATAAACTGACTCAGCACGTTGGGCTTGGCACCCATGGAAGAAAGAGGGCAGTGGGGGGCGTCTAGCGAGCCGGGTTCTGGTTCCAGCTTTTTCAGGAACCTGGGAACTAACAACAACTCTCATTTAAGAAGAACTTTGTCTACATCAAACTGCCATCTTAGAAAGCCCTCGCCCTCAACTTCATGATCACGGATAAGGAAAGATGTTTACTGTTCTTTGGTACCATCTATTGCCAAGCAACAGGCTGGGTGAGGATCAGAGGGCACCTAGCCATCTTCCCATCCTGCCTTTGAGCTCCTTCCTCCCTCTCAGGGTTCGAGGCTCCCCACCAGCCAGCTGCAGACTTGGCTCCATGAGCTGGAGCTGGGCACTGGAGCCTGCTTCCTGGCGTGCTCCATCCTGACGTGCCCCATCCCGACATGCCCCATCCCGACTTTCATTCGAAGCAGCGTGTTTGAACGCAGGGCGCCTTTCCCCATGCGCCCTGTCACATGTGGTGCCCAGGTTCCCTGCCGGCCCACGGGAGCTGGGTTTACCTGGCACACTGCTAGGCACTGTAGCTTTCCTCCATGTCCTGGGGAAAGAGCTTCTGAGTCAAGAACAGAAAACCTGAAGCCGGAAAGGGCTTTATGTCTGCAGCGCTCCCCCCACAGCCTGCGGCACCCTTACCTGCCTCCTCTCCACCCCTTGGGAGTATGCTGAGCCTCTTGTCCCTCCCTCTGCCTTCTACAGACACGGAGGAAAAGGCAAAGGGGGTGGAAGGACTCCTGAGCTGTGCAGAGGAAGCGCTGAGCTGGGTGCGGGTTCAGATATCAGTGTCAACCTGTCAACCTGTCTAAAGCTGAGAAATAGGAGGAAGGTAATGCTTGCACAGGCCTATTCGGAAGGCAGAGTACAGAAAGTCTAGGACCCTCAAGGCTGTCCTTGTGGAAGGCATGCTGTAAGTTGGGTGCTGTGCTAAGCCCCTTCCATGCCTAAGCTCACCTGATCTTCACAACCATGGAGACACAGGAGCCCAGGTGAAGGTGGAGACAGAGACGGGAGGGATGCAGCTACGCACGAAGCAATGCCAACACTGGCAGCGATCAGCAGCTGGGAGAGAGGCACGAACACGTTCTCCCTCCGAGTCTCCAGAAAGAACCAGCCCCGCCTACCCATGCACTTTGGACTTCTGGCCTCCAGAGCTATAAATAAATTTTTGTGGTTGAAGCTCCTACCATGGTACTTTGTTATGGCAGCCCTGGAAGACTCATTCAGGAGGCAGCCCCAGGAAGTCACGCAGTTAGTAAAAGGAGGAGGTAAGAGTCAAACCCAGTCTGTCCACCTGGAGCCCAGGGACCCGGCTGACTCATGACCTGGTCAGCTTCTCCCGTCCATCCCCAGACCCACTCACTCAGTCATCACGTTCTCCCAGCTTTACCCGCAAAAAGCATCCTGAATCGGGCCCTTCCCTTCCCTCCTCCCAACATCATCCCCTCGCAGGGGGACATTCGGCCCACAGCTGTGTTCCCAGCCTCAGACCGCCATCCTTCTGTAACCCCACTTTCGCATGTCACTGCTCTGCGGCATTGGTGCTGGACCACTCCGCCCGGGCTCCCAGGCCTCCCTCCCCCCTTGGGCCCTATCCCACGGGCTCTCCACCTCACCGCCTAGCTATGTCAGCGCTGCTAATGAGTGCTCAGCCTGTGCACCGCCACATTCAACCCGCAGACAGCTGCTCGAGGCCAGCATGATTTGCAATGCCTGCCTCCCATCTCCATCTCTCTCGTTCTCTGAGCTTTGTCTCCTACAAGGCCTTCCCGGGCCGCTCACGCTAGACAGCTGTGCATTTCTCACTCCAAGTTCTGTGCACCTCACCCCCGTACCTGCCGCCCCGCTGCTCCTCACACATGCCAGGCACATGCTCACCCCAGGGCCTTCGCCCTTGCTGCCATGTGCATGGCGGCTTTCTCTAAGAGGCCTTTTTCTGTTTGCGCCCTCACTCGCTCCAGGTCTTTTCCATTCAGGGTCAAAGTAGAAGATGAGATGCACTCCCAGTATTTGAATGAAAGAGGTGGAAGGGTTCAGGGATGGTGGCACTGTCAGGAACAACTGTGTGGAGGTGTCCATTCCTGAGGCTGTTGGGAAAAGTGGAAGAGAGTGTTCTCGAGAACTAGAGCCACAGACTCTCATTGTGGGGGACACAGCCACCTGCAGAGCCGTGTTGCTGAGGCTGGGAAGAGATATACAATCAATCTCCTTCTCTGCTCCGCCTCTCATCCCTTCCCGCTGCCTCCCAGAGGCTGAACCCAACAGGAAGTCAGGAGGCAGGGAGCCTGGGTGAGTCAGTCCACTGCCAGCCCCAGAGCACTGGGCTGAGGGCGCAGGGCAGAACACCACGGCCTGTGCCCAGATGCCCTCTTCTTAATGGGGCTGTCACTGGCCACCCCATTTAAAATTACACCACCTCTCTGACTCTTGCCATGTCCCTTCCTTGCCTAACTTTAGTCCACACCACTTACCACCAGCTGACACCCTATCTGCTTTTCTTATTTATTTTATTTGTCCCCCACCCCCTGGAACTAAACAGAGATCCCACACCTTCCCCTATGTTCTGCTCTGGAAAATTTTAAAGCCACACTTGAAAGACTAGAGCAATGGATACTTATGTACTCTAATGCAAATTCACAAACAGTTTGATTTTTAAAAGGCAGGGATTTTTTTAAAGTAAATTTTTGTGGAAGTATAACCTGCAGACAGAAAAGTTCACAAGCCATCAGCTTGAGGCAGGGACTTTTGATCCTCTTGTTCGCAGCTGTGTGCCTGGTGCCGGGAATGATGCCTGGCATCGGGCGGACGCTCCTTACTGTTCGTTCAGCGATGAGAGCGTGAGCCTCACAATGATGTAGTTGATCACGTGGTTACCACTGGCCTTGCGTGCTACCGTCTAGGCTCCAAGAAGGCAGGGGCCTCTCCTGTTTTGTTTCCTGTTGCTGAGCCTGGCCAGACTGGTTAATCCTCACATCAGCTCCATGAGGTTGCTGTTATAATTTCCTCTATTTTTCGGATAATGAAACCAAATCTCAGAGAAGTCAGGACATTTGCCCAGTGTCACACAGCTGGGAAGTGGCTGAGTCTGACCCAGCTCAGACAAGTGGGAGTCCTCAGGCCGAGCTCTGAGCCCTGTGCTTTAGCAGAGGGCAGTGCAGTCCAGTGGCTAGCGGGGGCAGGCTCCCTGCTGGGCTGACCTGGGCTCTGCCACTTGCCAGTGTGGGGCCTTGGGCAGGTGACTTCACTGTGACATCACATTCAAAGCATCACTGGTTTGCCCTTTACACCTGCCATTCTCACCTGCCGTCCTCACCCCATGCCGACAGCCACCTTCTGGTCCCAGCTGGCTGAGCTCACCCTGCTCATTGAGCCCGTGTGAGCCAGGGGACACGAGTATTTATCCTTCCCGGTACCGAAGGATGGAACTTTTCATACTTGTGCACATCTATGTTATCTGTTAACAGTAGAACAATTAGAAAAAATCAGGGAAGCAAGAAGCTAAAAGATTGTGGGTAATCCCACCATTCAGAGAGAACTATTTTCAATACTTACATGACCTTTATTCTTGCATTTGATGTGTTTTTAAAATGTGTTTTGCGGCATTTATTTAGCACTTGTTCTCCTTAGAGCCTTGAATACATTGTCTCATTTTTGTCTATACACCAGTCTTCCAGTCTGCATTATTGCCGCCCCCATTTCATTGAACCCGGGTGAAATGGTTTGTTCGAAGACACAGAGGTGAGTGATAGAACTGTGGTGTAAACTCAGCTGGCCTGACTGTAGGATCTGTACTCTGTCTACAGAGACACACAGCTCTTTTTTGGGCACACACACTACTCTCACACACACACACACTAATAAAGAGAGGAACAGAAAGCAGCTCCAATCATTGTTCCCATAACAATCGAGCAGGGGTGTGTGTCCATTTCACGGGACAGAATCCCCCTGCGGCTTGGTCCCTGCCTCTTTCCTCGGTTCCTCGGGGTTGGATAAACATCACGGCAGCGAACACCTAAGAGTTAAAGCTCTTTGCACACACCCTTAATTATTTCCTTTCTATAAATCCCTGACAGTGGGGAATTCAAGTCACTGTTTATTCATACTTGCAATTTGGGTAGATATTGCTAAATCACCTTCCAGAAAAGCTGAACCAATTTACACATCCAAGCGTTGTATCTGAGCAGAATCAAGAGGTTTTCCAAAATCTTTCTTAATTAGGGTTCTGGTGTCTTAGGGGCTTTTTTGGTCACTAAGACCCCGACGGTGTTCCAGGGTGGGCTATTCCAATTACCCAAGAAGCGAGGCCAGCCATCTGTGAGGCCCGGAAAGGAAGGAAGGAGAGGGGAAGCGGGACGAGGGAGCTGAATCCCGCTCTGACTCCTGGAAAGAGGCCTTCCCCAGGATTAATGTGCGCCACACTTTGTCTTCCAAGTGCTTCCCGCACGAGGCTGGCCTTGAGGAGGAAGGAAGAGAGCTCGCCCTGTCACGGTTGAGAATGAATTGTACCCCAGAGCACCACAAAATCTCTCTTAAGCTTTGGGGGTGATTTCAAGGAGGAGTGTGGAAACGACTGGATGTGAGCTCGTGAAATGTCCACGGGTAGCTGGCGCCGTACAGGCGAGGGGATTGATCAGGATGTCCCCCCATTTGACGATGACCTGGTAGCTCTTCCAGACCCGTGGCTCCACAACCAGCCACATCTCTCTGGACTTTTCCTTCCCAGTCCCCCAGAGGCTTGCGGACAACTTGGGTCTCAAATAAAGAGGGTTTGCAAAGAGCTGGCAGCTCATTGGAATAAGCAAGGGGAAGGCAGTGCGGTGCAATGGAAACACCCCAGGTGTGGGGGTGGGATGGACTTCTGGTAAAAATCAGTCTCTGCATCTTGCCCACCCAGGGGCACTCGGCGGGTAGTCTCACCTCTCAGCTTTCTTATGGGGGGATGACTCCCACTTTGCAGGGTGGTGAAGACAACAAGTATGATCCTTCAGTGCCTGATACATGGATCCCAGACGCTCATCAATGATACCTGTGTCAGTTTTTATCCAAAATCGAGAAGGGAATGAATGAGGTCCAGAGATTCCCCAACTGGTGCAGCCACAATAATCAGCTGCAGGTGAAGCAGACCTCAATGACAGGTGACTCTACCTTATTATCTAGAATCTTCCCTGCAGTCTCTCTGAACCCCCCCCCCCCATTTTACTGATGAGCAAACAGGGGTCTGGGAACCTTACACATGGATTGCCTAAAAGCCCAAACCTGTGTTCTGTCTGGGGACACCACCCAAACAACCCATGAGAACAAGAAGGTCTATTTTCCAGCGACATCGGCAGTGGGGGCTGCAGCCCTCACTGGGGGCAGTCACCGCAGAACCAGCGCTGCACCCATGGCCGCGGGGCAGTGCGGGCCCCACTGGGAGAAGGCGCCCCTCTGCGGTTCTCTTCCAAGACAAAGTGGTGTCAGAGGAGGCGTTTCCCCGAGGCTGTCTCATGTTGGGGAGAACTATGAGATGGTTATTAATGTTCGAGATTTCATAAAATTTTTTTTCAAATTATAAAGGAGGTTCTGAAAGGCGATGTCTGTTTCCCATAATTGGCAAGCGTTCCCCAGGCGACCATTCAGCCACCTTGAAAATAATGTTTTCACGACCCTTGACCCCTCTTTCGCTGACGACTGTCTCTCCTACAAGTTGCTCCCAGGATGAAAACAATAAAAGCAAATATATAACAGCAAAGGCCTGAGGTTAATGTCTTTAACAAGATAATGTTACTTAAGGGAACTGTAAAGCAAATCATTCCAAAATTCCATTTATTTGCTGCAGCTCCAACTGTATTTTGAAACCATATGTATGTGCTGCCTGCGTGTCTGGCATGGACGGGCTCCACTGGTGTGTTACTTATTTTGATCATGTGTCAAACTGTTAGTTTAATACCCTAATTATTCAAAATCCCTGAAAGATATGCGGAAGGACTGTGGAAACCCTTGCACGCCAAGCCTGTTACTGCCTGCGTGTATTTTCTGGACTCGTCGGCATCTGCCCGTTGAGTTGGAATGGCGGTCCTGCGGGGATGGCTTTCTGCCACGCAAGCGTGACGTGTG